CACTAGAAACCCCAAATCAAAGCTTAAGCTTTCTGCTTAGATGGCACTGAGACTGTCAGGGACTTTCCATAAAGGGTCTGTCAGTGGTAAACGGGCTGCAGGAACGGCAGCACCGCCGCTACGGTGGCTCTAGCTCCTGGATCACATCCTTCTGACTCAAGCAGGCTACGGAGAAACCATTCGGCTCTAATTTCAAAACTCTTCCTCTGCCCAGAATCAGACAGGCTCCTACATGGTCCACGCTACTCGCCGGGATGCCGTGTCCATGGATGTCAATCCAAGACAGCCTTTAGCAGAAAGAGCCCCAAAGGACGGTGTAAAACAACTGTCACTGCGTTTTATCCTCTCATCTCCATCTGACAGGCTCTGATTTCAGCACATCAGCGTGTCACACATTAACCACCGCTCGATGGCGACAGCCAAAGGCTTCCCCACTAAGCACGCTGGCTGCCACTGCCAATTACTGTTTAATTAAATTCAAAGCAAACCGTAAGAATTCCCGTTTAAGCAGGACATAATGCACCTTATTAAAACATCCCAAATAGCTTCTAAGCAACACGATCGCAGTTCTAATGGATTTTCAACTCTGTGCCCAGTGTAAGGTCCCGGGGGGGGAGGCTCGGGCCGTTTGGAATGCCACGCTCCACGATTATCAAGACAAAATAAACCGCGAGCAGCCGCGGCCTCAGAGGCCACGAGGTACGTGCGTTTCTTACGTGGAACTGAGGGACGAAACGGAACGAGCTGGTTACGGGCACCCAAAGGTCAAGTTTTAAAACACCCGTCAACTTTGCCAATGACCCTTAACTACCGACGCAGTTTATTTTCAGAGCTGACAATACCAAGATAGCCTCTTGATACAACGCTGAGATGTGTCTTGTAAACAAATACGCATTAAGAATGGAGGAGGTGAAATTGTACAGTGAAACAGGCATAGATACAAAAATGCTACAGAACAGTAGCAAAAGGTAACTAAAGGATACAGGACTGAAGGGTGCGGGTCCCGCGCTCAGCACTAGAACACCGCTACGCAAGCGGATGCCTGCGCCCGTGCTCACCTGAGGGGCCGAGCCAACGTGCCAGGCCAGCTCTCCCACCCGGTCCCAACCCGCAGAAGCTCTGGCATGAAAACTGAAGTCACGAGGAATCTGTCGCAAAGGTCTCTCGCCGCGTTCTGAAAAGCTGCGTAGAGGAAGGTAGGCACGCAAGCAGCCTGCGCTGGCGCTGAAATGAACCCTGTAGAAACAAGGAGAATCCATCTGCTGGACATCTGAGGTTTGAAAACGCATCAGAGGGAGAAATTAGCCCAAACTAACCACTGAACAGCCAAAGCCTTCCACGCTACGATGCATGCTGTTCCATTACACCGAAGATCGCATGGATGCTGAAGACTTAGGATGCTCTAAGTTAAAACCACGAATTCTTGAATTCAAGGCATTTTCTCCCTTCCTGACCAACTGCAAAACGCAACTTGAATTTGCCAAAACCAGTGCATAGGAATTCCATTCAGCTGTCGCTGCTGAAGACTGATTTCTGAAACAAGGATCTAAACTGAAGCTGCTGAAAAAAAAACCCAAACCAACTTTCCTCCATCACCCCCGTTTCCAGGGTGACATTCTCTGAAAACAGGTAAGACGGAACAAGCACGGGTCTGTGACAGTGGGCTATTCCTGACACGTTTCTGCTTTCCCTGGATCGATTTTGCTAGCAGCAGGTGTTGCTAGTGGCATCCTGATAGTTCAGGACCTCAAAAAGCCAGACAGAGCGCACACAGCAACAGCAGTGCAAGCTTTTCCACTCTGCAGTACTATTATACAGCAGCAGTGACACGTAAAAGAGATTTCCAGAAGCAAGACAGATGTTCAGCTTCCCTGCTGAGCATCCAGCCTAATTCTACCACCATCTATGAATTAACCCATGCAAATATCATCAAGCATTCAACAATACCATGGCAACTTCAGCAACATGAACTGTAATGTCATAAAATGTCTCTGTAATGCTGCATTATTATTTTTTAAACCGACACGGTACTATACCCATATTACAGACTGCTAACATGATAATTAAAAGAGAGCCTATAGTAACCCCCACCTGCCCTACACTGAATTAAAAACAAGTTGCAACGAGCTGCAAACTGCTCCCGAAGTGAGCGAGTGAAGGTACCAGCGAGTCACATAACCAAGCTCCAAAGAAGTCACAGTGACACTGTGCTCTGTCAGGAACGTGATCCAAAAAAGCTGGCAGTTAGTAAATGCGTGTTTAACGAGGCAGCATATATACAAGATAATATTACCTTAAGTGACCTGAATGTTGTAATGGGGAAAAGGCGAGCAAGCCTCTCCTCTCCCACCTCCCTCCCCACCTTCCAACTTGCTTTCCCAACTGCCTCCCCGTGATTATAATCCTATACGGGACTCCTGTTTTCCTGGGCAGGCGCTTGAGAAGCAAAAGCAATCACCCTCTCAGTGCTGTGTCGGGAAGCTGGATGTTACCAGACTGAAACCAACACGCGGGCTGCGTTTCTGCATTACGGAGGTATTCCCCTAGCTCATCAACCAGCTACGGCAGCGCAATCTCACGGAGCTACTGGGAGAAGAGCATGGAACCAGGCCGAGCACAACGGACAAGCTGCGTCAGCGTTTGGTTCTCTCGCACACCGATGCTGAAAGTGATACAGTTTACAAAAACACTGAAGTGCACGTGTGCACATACACAATTTTTAAACAAATAAACTTGGCTTTTCTCCATAAGGGACAAGGAAAGGGAAGCAATTAAATTGCAAGTCTTTAGTGCTCATTAATTAAACTCTAATCCTAGTCTGCAATGTCGCTCTCAAGTCCACGCACATGGCGGGCAGAAAATTGGCCAACCTAAAACAACCATTAAAAGTGCTGCTATGTATATATAGCTATATATAGTTTTTCTAGAGCAGACTGACAAGCCATCATGCAAACCAGAAAATTCCAGGTGCCTGCTCTTGATTAGGATCTGCAGCTTGCTGTCTGCATTTAAAAAAAAAAAAAAAAAGCTCAATATTGCACATTTTAAGAGCCGCTGGCACAGGAACTCCATCCTGCATCTGCTGATGTCTAAAACGTGAAGCAGTACTATGCCTCTGACCTCACCGAACAGGAAGACGGTTCACTACATGAGCTCACTCCCTGCTGTCTCCTCCTAAAGATAAACACACTCCTTTCTCCCACCTCCCACCGGGCAGGGGACTTTCTGGATGAACAATGCCCAAAAAGCAACTCCATTACACCCATCAGCCTTGGGTGTACGTCAGGAACACACTCGGTGGTGTGGGTATTTCAACGCTAGAACGGTAACGTCACCGCACTAAATTAAGCCTTGGGGATCGTCACACGCTTTAAAGTGAATTCAGTCTGCGGAAGCGGCAAAAGGAAAACTCGGGAAAGCTCGAGTTCCCCACTTCTCCGAAAGACAGGCGCAATATATACAGCGTGCACTGTCAGCTCCTCTCGCTGTAAAGGTACGATCTTCCTCTGCTCATTAAAACTCTGAAGACGGCCAGTGAGGATGCCAAAGGAAAGAGATGGCCTCCAGCCGTATTCTAGTGGGTATTTCACGGAGATTATCCTACGTCACCAACTCGGTGTACGTAGTAGCCAACAGAGGTTGCTGCCTGACATCGGATGCCCAAAGTGGACGGGCACACTGCCCAGCGCCAACAGACCAAGACATCCAGCCTCTGAGGGGCCATCAGAGGAGAGCCTCTCTTCTTTCATTCCCCACTTCTCTTAAAAGGCCTCCTGACGTGTAAAAATCTACTCACAAATTGCATCAGTGCTTTGAGTGGCTCTGGAGCGTAACCTTGCATTAATCCCTGCACACCCCCAGAAAAGCAAGCGCACGTTGACAGGAAGGTGGATACGCCGTGGTACCCCTCTCAGCTAGCTGTACACCCTGAGCCCAACTTCTTGTGGGTCTGAGGGCTTCCTCGTATAAAAAAAGCAACGGAGCTAAAGCAAATCTTGAGATAAGAGCTGGTAGAAGAGGAGAGTCTCCACTTCAACTGTGGGAAAAGAGCAGTAACGTTAGTGCTCGGACGGTAAGTTCTCCCCCACGGTTTGGGTCTGAAACTCCAGCGTCAGGCAGCAACCTCACCAAACACAGACACCCCCTCAAAACCTCACGGGAAATCCACCGTCCTGATGATCTTCCAGCAGTGGGACGACAGGCTTTGTAACAGGTCTCTGGTGCAAGAAATGTTTGGACTTCAGCATTCAAACTTTCTGAGAACTGCAAGAAACTAACCCCACCATTCATTCGTCTCCAAGACCTTGCCTCCTCGCGGAAGGGAGGGCAGGGAAGCATCCAGAAGCCAGCCAGAGCACTTCGCCGAGGGGCTGGACTGTGGGTATACAATGCCATTCAAAAAATTGTCCGTATCCCAGTAACACAATCAGTGAATATTCCTTGAAAATTTCTCCCTGCAAAAAGACAAGACGTTTTTACAGCAGAAAAGACGCGGGCTGTTTCATGCTGCAGAAGTTAGCAGGCCCCAAGGCAAAAGCTGAGTGCACACACCCCTTTCCCAAGCATTTCCTGGAATGCCAGCTTCGATCATGATTAGATTTCTTCTTGCCAAGCACAGGAAGCAGAAGAACAGAGGGTTTTTCCAAGAGTCCCAGAGAAAGGACTTCTCCGAGAGGGTTTACTGCAATCAGTGCAGACTCAGTTACTGCAACACCAACCGAAACTCCCGTTTAACCAGAGTGAAGTCTTCCAAACCAAGGAGGGAAGAGAAGAGACTGGAGCTTCAGCTCCTATTAAGGCGTTTGCATATACATTCCCAACCTGGGTCTTCAAAAAGGGGGAATTTTGCAAAAAAAAGGCATTTTATTTGGGAATGGCAAAAACTATGATTGTTGATCATCTCCGTGGAATTATAAATTGCTCGTTTAAAAAACATGGTTAAATATAAGTGTCATATCTTTCCCTTGCTTGCCAATCTGTCCTTTCCATGAGTTCGTGTGCTATGTCTTCTGTAGGTCAGGGGAAAACGGGCCAGGGGTAGAGGGTCCATCCAGTCCAGACAGAGTAAATGGGCCGTGACTGTTCAGCACTGATGGAAACTAAGAGACAAAACAAAGATGATTAGGGAAGAGAGCATTTTAATTTGCTGTTCCTCTCATATCTGTGCATGTAGAAGCTCCCCCAGGAAACCAAAACACAACAACAACAAAAACCCAACCCCAAACCTTCAAGGAATCTTCTTGGCTTCCCCCAAGTCATTTACTTTTTAAATGCCCTGCATCGCAGACCGCACAGACCCAGCGGCTACGGCCAGTGTCACCAGGAAGGCCCAGTCTGTAACCTCTGCACAGAGCACCACCTATATCCCAAACCCTGACTTTACCAGAGGCTGTGGGAAACCACCGTCTAAATCGTTCCCCAGTCAATTATGAGCTCTTCAGAGAGAAAAATGGGCAATGGGTTTTCAGACCTACTTGTCTACTCCCTGTCCTCACGGTCACGTGAGCCGTTTCCTTCATCTCCACAGAGATGACAGATACAAACCCCGAAGGCAGCTAGTTAAATTCTACCCTTTGCCTAAGCAGATTCAGGCAACAGATGAGGTTACTCCAGTTCCAAGGTGGAAGGTGAAGGAAGAGCATCACTAATTACAGATAAAGGATTTTTTTTTTTAAATATAGGGGATGTTTTCTTATATATTAAACAAAAATATTTATTAAAAACAGTGAAGCTGAGAATTTCCAAACAACAGAAGACAGCAGAATACAGAGATCAAAGAACTGTGCTACATACTGCCACAGAGATCACACACACAATCTTCCTTCTTATTAGAGGAGAGATTTAATTAATGTCTTTCAGTAGAAGAGGCTGTTAAGGAACAATAAAAACAACCAATAGCGTAGCACAACTCAATTTCCAGGAAAACCTCTGCCAGTGAAGTTACAGGGAGGCAGGTTTTACAGAAGGAACAGACCTTACCAAAAAAAATAATCTAAGTACACTACAGACTGCTGTTAATTTAACACATTCCTGGAATGCCACCATTTACAACACACTTATATAAAACTGGGTGAACGCTACAATTAAAGGCTCTCAAAAGCCAACAGAGGGGATAGAAACCAGGAAGATCCCCGTTTTGTTACCACATCAGGTATGTGTGCTAACTGATCCCTGCAGGTCTACTGAGGAAGGTGATGAAAAGCACAGAGATTGGCTAAAAGTGCTGGAACTTACCTGGAAAAGCGTGTTAGCACCTTGCAACCTCGCGGGACTGAGAGGAGCAACTGGGCTTAGCGTACTCCAGAAGTGAATACTGGAGAGCAAGGGGCTCGGGGTCAGCAAGATGGGAGTCTGCAAAACACAGGAAGCTAGTCAGCCGCGTAGAACCCACACTGTAACGCAGAGCACGTGCAAATCCAGCCGCAACAATCGCAGCTCCTACAGCTGCGACGGGCTGGGTCCAAGCGGCAGGAACTCCCGTTCCCTCCTTCCGCCTCCTCCCACCTCCTCCCTTCAAACCCAACGGCAGCCGCCATCCGGCTCTCCCTCCCCTTGCTGAGCCGCTGGCTTTCTCTTCCCAACAGCTGCCAAATCCCGCTGTAACCTACAGCAAATCTGCTCCTCCTGCAATGCCGTGCTCAGCACCTGCAAGGGACTTCGGGAAACTCAGTCCATGAACTGAAGAGCCGCGGACAGTGCACACAGGCACGGTCTGGGCGACACTGACCACATAAGTCCCAACCAAACACATTTACATCCAGCTTCTGAACGCTCTGGATGATCCAGGTTCAGCGGCCAAACGCTTCAAGGCTGCCAAAAGAGCAACTGCACTAGATTTTTTCCCTGTCTTCAGCCATTTCGGTTTTCAATCAGCAGTTACCCTACAGTTTTCACTTCGATTCCAATTTATTACAGGAAGGAGATTAAACATGCACAGAACAATTTAACAGCCTAGTTGGATTCAGCTCCCTTCCAAATTTTCCGCGAGGCATAAAAGCTTTCCCTTCCCCCAGAAAGATAACAACCAGATTAAGCAGCCGCTCTGACTGCTGTGAAGTCACAACACCCTGCTCTTAAGTAAATGGTACTGAATCGGGTAAATGAAAGCTGTTAGGCAGACACCTCCGTGGTTCTCTATTTTTAAAGCATTTTCAGACTCAGCCTGAAGGATGAGGGTTTAGGGTTTTTGCAATAATGCAGTATCACCCTGGCAAGACATACAAAGGATCCTGCCGGTGCTGGTTTGGGTTCTGCCTCCACACGCTGGCGCTGCACAGACGCATTCAGCTGACATACCTGGGCACACTTTGGGGTGAAGCTAATACCGTGATGAATAAGGTTTCTGTTTTATAAGAAAAATGGGAGTGACATCCTGAGTTTCAGAACGGCAAATACAATTTACCGGCTATTCATTTTCCACTTGCCTTCCCTTACTGTCTTAAAATATAACATAACTGCTATTGTTCCCAAAAAAAACCCCAGAAACCAGGAAGGGAATGAGGTTACCTGAGAGAAAAGTGCTGGAGTAAGAGAAGCAGTTGGGAGAGAAGGGCTCAGGATTCCCAGTGGACTTGGATCACTGCCTGTAATGACGAGAGTAGGAGCCAACTCCAGCCCTTTGGGTTTTTTAGATCTGGAGAGGTGATTGGCAAATTCCTTCTCCAGCACGGATGAATCCTGCTCTTTGGGCTCTGGGGACTGATGCTGAAGGCCCTGAGCCTGCTCCAGCTGCTGAGAAGCCACAGACTCTATGTCCGTGTCAATGTCCAGGTCAGGATTAGAGCTCAGGGGCGGCGATGGGGGCGTGGAAGGAACTTGCAGAGTGGGAGAAACTGAGGATATGGGTGGAGTTGGGGTGAAGCTGGTGGTTAAGTTTGGCAAAGGTGCTGGAGCTTCAGGGACAGTTAACTTGGGTAGAACAAGCGTCTCCAAGGTCTGGAGAGTTTCTTCTGATCCCATGGGAAGAGAGGATGCGGTAGAAGTGGCGGAAGCAGTGGAAGTGGCAGAGACCGCTGAAGTGGTAGAGACCAGGGGGACAGAAGGTGGCTTTTTGGAGGGCATGGTGACAAACTTGATGACAGAGGGTGTTGGATCCTGAGCAGGTTTCTTCTCCGACAGCTTCTCAGCTGGATTCTCAATCTTGATGGACCTGAAGAGTTTTACGCTGGAAGAGTTCAGGGAGTTCAGAGTGAAAGAGGAGTACAAGCCTGAGTGGATATAGTCATTGCGGCTGGACGATTTAGCACACGACTGAGACTTCTCCTTCCCACAGTTTTCCACATCCTTTGGAGCACTGCTAACTTCCGCAAAGCCAGTCATTTCAGGGTCGCCTTCTATACGGCCCACGACAAGTGGATCCATATTTAAAATCTCCGGATAAGAAACAAACTTGTACACAAACTTCTTACCATTCACTTTTTTAATGATATTCTGTGGATAAGAAGATATATAGACATTTAGGTCTTTCTTCAGACTAATCTTCTTCCTACAAACACTGCCTAAAATAGACTGAGGGATTAGATAGTCTGTAATCTTTCATCAAAACTGTTCCTTTTTTAAAAACAACTCCCTTCTTGCCATTTAGTTTTGCTCCCAAATGATCGTTTCCAGAGCTCGCAGACAAAACTCTAAACCAGGTGAACTTAGCCTGACATTAAATATACCAACAACAGCCTTAAAACTGGCAATGCCCTGTAACAGATTTTAAAAGATCAGCTAAGAAACAACAAAAAAAACCCTCATTACCCCATCAAAGATCACTAACCTGGGTACGGTAATCCAACAGAACCTGCAGAATTAAGGCTTACAGGTTTGCAGAACTGAGACCTAATACACTTCAAATCAAACCACCTTTATTCTTAATAAGATGATAATAAAAGAAAATAAGTAGCTGAACCAGTCAGCAGAATGTAGGCTAATCAGCTATTTCAATACCACAAAACAGCATTTGTCGAACTTGTTTTGCTCCTAAGTGAAATGCCACACACGCAATTTGATCTAAAAAGATTCATATTTATTGTACAATTATTATTACTGAGACCTCCCAGCACAAATCAGATTTGTGCTACCCGATAATAAACTCCAAGCAAGGCACCACCTGCTACAAACTGACAGGTTCCCCAGGAACTGTGTTTTATTTTTTATCCCGTACTCCCACACGGTATCAGTTGTGGGATAAATGGCTCATTGGGATGAAGGTAAGGCTCCCACGCTGTGGTTCCAGTTCAGCTTTTTGACACTACCTGCGCACGGATGAAAGGCTCCTGCAAGTTATTAGAAGCCATTAGCTAAACAAGAGAAGGATCTTGCTCTGCTGGACCAAACTCACTGCCCACATTAGAGGTGCAATTGTGAATACAAGGAGAAAAACACTTTGGGCTGCTTCCCTGAAAATCCTTGTTGTGACAGCCCCTTTGCAGAGACAACTACAGAAAAGGTCTCAAGGCGTGCAATATTCACCACCTCCATCACAAAATTAGTTCTGTTTCGTGGAGCGTTGAGGATTTTAACCCTTGCAAGGGCACATATTTTTGGAAAGGGGATTAGTATTTGCAAAGAGATAAATAAAAGATGGTAACATTTTGCATAGAAAACCTTATAAAATAGCCACTGGGGAGGAAACGCAGCACAGTGGTAAACCAAAGGAACACAAACCAGTGCACCTTGCTTAAATCTGGGAGACAGAAGTGACACCTATCCCCTTGAAGAGAATGAAAAAGGAAACAAAGCTCATTAGGCAGAAGCTGGTAAGATGGATAAGGATTCGAGGTGGATTTACGGACTTGGTTACCTTCACATAATAGTATCTGAGAGCGCGGCTGAGTTTATCATAGTTCATACTGGGCTTGTTCTTGCGGATTCCCCAGAGTCTGGCCACCTCCTCTGCCTGCAGCAGTTTGAACTCCCCGTCGTTGGAGGTCCAACAGATGATATTCTTGTTCTGAGGCTCTTGGAGGAGTTGGAGGAGGAACTGCCACAGGGTGATAGCACTGTCCATAGCAGTAAGCTGAAATTCAGAGAGGCAGATAAGAGGCAACAGATTAGGAACAGCGCATTTTCTTTGTCTCCCTAGAAGGGGGCGATGGAGCGGAGATGTTATTTCCAAAGCCAGCAAGAGTAAAAATTATTAGTCACCAGTCGCAAAAGATGTTCCCTGCAGAACAGAGAGGCTGAGAGCCAACTGCTGTCGTCTCCTCCCACATGTCAGTACTTTTCACATGGGTTATATTTAGCCTCATTTAACTAAATCAGGTCACTTTGGGTAAGTTGCAATGAGTCACTATCCAAAAAAAAACGTGTCGACGTTGTTCCACGTTCACCCACTCTGACTTGTTCTGCTTTATGAGAAACAGCTCAGGTGCACCCCCGTGACAAGCTAACGCCCCGCTCGCCTCCTCCTTTCCTACCTGCACCCACCTCCCACCGCTCTGAGGGAACAGAGCAGATCAAGGAGCTGCCTAAGCTACGGGAGGATGCCACATCTCCCCTGTATCAGTCACTTAAGCTGAGACTTTCTAGGACCAGTATCAGTCAGTTGATCCATGCACTTCCAGCATGTATTTCTTGCACTGAAGCTGTCCACGTATAAATCCATCAAGGACAAAGAAGGCAGCCGAGATGACATTTTTCCTTGACCGTATCTGACTTACATGAAACAGTACTTCCACAGATATTTTTAAGCAGAACACTAATAATCCTGCCTGCACAAAGGAAACGTAAGATACACTGTGAATTAAGCCAGATAAATTTATATTAATTCAGTATCCCATACGGATTCTCTTATTCCAGAACAGAATGGTTTCTATTAATATAGCTCAAACTTCTTCCAATGAAATAAAACCAAACCCAGCCACTCTGGAGTAAGAACCATCACGACGAATTACACTAAAAATGTTTTGATACGTGCAACTCCTAGGTTTTTCACACACACAACACACAGACAAACCTCAATAAAGGCAAACTTAGAGAGTACAGGGGTTTCCATCTGGGCAACTCTGCAGCCCGAGCAACCAAACACTATTCACAAGCAGAAGCTCCAAACCAGAGGCATCAGGTCCAACCTCAGCAAGCAGGACCCACGCCCACGTTGTCTGAAGTCCATGGGATAAGGTTAAGATTCAGCCGGGACTGCCAGTTCATCTTTGTTACCAAAGCCTTTTATTCCAATCCCATTACTGTCCAGCACTTAGCCAGCCCTATATAAGGAAGAGAACGGTCTACGTGTCAGAGCTTCAGAATTTAGTCAGCCCTGTAAAAGGATTACTGCTGACAGTTTACACAGGACTACACATTCTTATTTAAATAAGGTGCCCTAGGGCAGGTACTTTTTTTGGGCAGAGCCCATTGCATTTAACCTGTTTTTAAGAATACCTGCCCAATGGCACGCTTACGTGACTACACAGTGATGTTACATTGATCAAGTCAGTTAAATTGCTGCAATTACAAGGAACAATCTCAAAATGAAGGACACCCACACCACCTTGTTATGCTAGCCTAAGGTGCTTTCCTTGTTAATTACCGTATGCATACAACTCCATGCTTGCCCAAATTAATTGCTCAGTACTCTAAGAAAACATCAGCTGCTGAACACTGAGCTTGGAGACTCTTCCCACACTGCTCTGTGGCTGAACCGTACGGGAACCCAGGGCCAGGCAACCACATTAAAACTCTTCCAGGACTTTCCCTCCGACTCTGTATTCCCGTTTGCCAATACCATTTCATATCTGCCTACCGGCGAGGCAGAGGACGTGCACGCTGCGGAGCACGGCAAGCGGAGCCTCATTATCCTGTCAGGATGATGCACACGCATGGGCTGTTGTGTAGACATACGGACTCGATTCTACCATTCTGCAGAGCTGTCAGTACTGGAGATAGGTGTTAACAGAGAGAGAGCAGGAAAATGAAGTTGAGTGATTATTCCCACGCTACATTTATCTACAGCACTTTGAAAACCCGTAGCAGCACTGCACCAAACAGTGCTGACTGATGCAATGGGAGGCAATCACGTACAAATTAGATTAGCAGCAGAATTTCAGAGTGGCGAAGGCCTTTTTTTATCCCCCTCCTCCTGAAAATCCATGCAGATTTCATTCCAGAATTTAAATGCACTTATTTCCCTGGGCTGCTTCCCTTTAGTAAGCAGCACCTCGCCATTAGCACCTCAAAACGCACCAAGCTCTAGTCCAGCGAAGCATTACTGCCCAGGTCATGGTCATGAGCTGCAGACGCCCAGCGCTGACAGCACGGCACTCCGCCAGCACGCACAGAGCGACCAAAGGATGGAAGATACAAGGTATTTTTAAAAAAATCACCTTTCCTCATGATAAGCTATGCTGTTCCGAGGAGCATTTCCCAAAATAAAGAGTTCCTGCTCCCTAAATCCCAACTACTGCAGCTCTCTGCTGGAAGGATCCTTCTCCCAGAGCAGTTACAGACTGTACTGGAGTGTTACACCAGTCAAATTACTACTGATGGTTCTGGCATTTACAGGCTTTGGGGGTTTTCATGAGCCCGTCCATCATTTGGGGGATGCACTGCATATCCTCTACTTCAAAAAGTCTTACACTAGATACATTAATAGGGTGGAGAATCATAGAATCATAGAATGGTTTGGGTTGGAAGGGACCTTAAAGATCATCTAGTTCCAACCCCCCTGCCATAGGCAGGGACACCTTCCATTAGACCAGGTTGCTCCAAGCCTCACGCAGCCTGGCCTTGGACACTCCCAGGGATGGGGCATCCCCAGCTTCTCTGGGCAACCTGTCCCAGTGCTTCCCCCCCTCTGCGGGAAGAATTTCTTCCCGACATCTCATCTAAACCTCCCTGATTTCAATTTATACCCAGTACCCCTTGTCCTATCACTACAAGCTCTTGTAAACAGTCCTCTCCCAGTACCCTTGTAGGCCCTTCAGATACTGGAAAGCTGCAAGTTTTCACAGAATGGTTTGGGTTAGAAGGGACCTCAAAGATCATCTAGTTCCAACCCCCCTGCCATGGGCAGAGACACCTTCCACTAGACCAGGTTGCTCCAAGCCTCATCCAGCCTGGCCTTGGACACTTCCAGGGATGGGGCATCCCCAGCTTCTCTGGGCAACCTGTCCCATTGCCTCCCCACCTCTGTGGGAAGAACTTAGTTTTACTTATTCCTTGGCTGTCACAGGACAGGAGCAGAGAGCACTTTGGAGTTGTTAATGGATAGGTTTTATTGCATTTGAGTGAATGAATGTCCCTCTATTACATATTTACTGCGTGCATCTACAGGAAACGATGGAGAGACACCTCAGTGGAACTGAAGGGACAGAGTTATTCCTGAAGACCACATACAGGCAAAGGGAAGGCCAGAAAATAACCCTCCAAAACGGTCAAAGCTGTGGGATCACAAGTGGATCTTGCCCCTCCGGAGTCCAGGAGTAAGCTGTGACTGGGAAAGGAGAGTATGTACAGGGGAGACCACATTGTGCAATGAATTAAGGCACCTCATTTAACTTTTTTATTAAAGTTGCTTTGATACAGCACAAGAAAACATCAAAGAACTGCCGCCTCTTTAGGAAAAAGCAGACTAAAAAACATCACACAAGATGTAAAACTAAAACCAGTACAGGCGAGATGAGCACTTCTCTTTGTCTAAGAGCCGACGTGTTAAAAAGGTTCTTCCTTCTCCAGCACCTGGGCCAGACGGCGGCTGACGCCCTTCGTGAGCCTTTTCCTTCCAACCACAGGCACTGAGCAGCGGTCCCAGCTCCCGCTGCTACCCGCGCTTTGTGGAGCTCCTTCAGCTGGACCAGCTGCTGCAGAGGATCCTGACCACACCACAGCCACTTTCAGGACCACATACCCAAAAGCATCCCTTTCCCACACCAACACCAGAAGGAATTCAGCAGACCCTCTTCTCCTTTTTGTTCAGTTATACAGCAAAACCCACTCTCTCCAGAGATGTCACAGGCCCATTAGTTGGAGAAAGTAAAGTGAAGATGAGGACAGGAACCCACCGTCCCACTCTACACTAACAACAGGGAGGTGCTACTCCTCTCGTGATTCATAAACAGCATTTCAGCTTCCTTCAGAACTACAACCCCTTTTGTGAACAGCCATCAATCTCCCTCAGCAGAAGCAGCCTAGAAGTTTGATTGCTTTTTCTGCAGAATGAATACACCAATAATGACAAGCAACCCTGGGCAAACCATCTTTTCACTGGAGGTTCTTTCCCTTGTTAGAGTCCCTGGTGAAAGAAAAAGGTCTCATTCGAAGAGAGGAGGGAATTAGGCAGAGAGGCAACACTGCTGTTTATGACAAGGGCCTTTCCACTCCGGCACCGTTTGAGTACGAGGTAAAAATAGTTGCTAGAGGCAGAGGGCAGTTATACTTTGTAATGAGTATGCTAAAATAGAGCACTATTATTGTCTTGAGATCTTCTCTGACGCCTACGGATGACCCTTGAAGTACACCGAGTAGCTGACAGAATTTGGCTGCAGTACTCTAAATACAAGCGCTGCAAACCCGAGCTTTCTCATGTTGCTGCAGCGCGTCTGAGGTTGCTGTAGCTCTGTTCGAGGCCTTGGCTTTACAGAGCCTTGCCTCTACAAAAAAAGCCGGGACAGGAGATAGGTATCTTTTCCGGTGACTTCTCATGTGGCGCCACAACGTGCTCCACACGATCCATCTGATTACAGAGCCTCAAGGCTCCGCATCTCCTGTGGAAGCGGAGAGCGCAATCCCTGGGTGGCACAGCAGGTGGGAGGGACAGTTTAGGAAGTGGCATATGGTAATCTCTCCCGTGGCCAGCAGCTACACTTACTATTGCAAAACAAACTCCAGCATTCATCCCTGGGTGCTCCCAAAGGAGAGGGAACCCTGGCGATGCCATGGCCAGGCAGCCGCCCGCCAGGCCCTGCGAAGGGAGCAGCGGCAGGACCAGAGCGAGGGGTCTGCCCTAACCCCTCGTCTTCAACTCCCTCTGGCTGATTTCCTGAGCTTTGACTCAACACCTCAAGTCATCTTTCA